CAGATGCAGAGCCCCAGTCTGAATATCTCCCGTAAGCAGTGGCTGGCCAAGTGCTGTGTGTGGGGTGGGTACTCAGTCACTGAGGAAATGCAGAAAGAACAGACAGTTGCCAGGGAAGAATAACTGTCCAACATTCAGAAAGCATCTACACAGTCCCTACTGTGACCAGGTACCTTGACAGTCTGGGGCCAATGCTTTGCATTCTTGCACACACATGCACACACGTGCATACACACGTACACACACCCATGCACATATACAATCTGTTTTGATGTCAGACCTCGGCACTCAGGTCCTGTGTTAACCTCAAGTAGTCTGGCATATCACGCAGCAGTCCTGGGGACATGGATAGAAGGTGTTTGATGTCTCTGCAACATAAGTGTTTGGTCCCAGAAAACAATTTTTGGCCACATTGTAAGACAGGAAACCAAGGGCGCTGGGGGTTCATTCTGGTGGGTCTGTCCCTGAAAGGCTTGACGACGAAATCGCTCAGAAGAACAATGCCCTAAAGAAGATCCGGGAGCTGGAGGGCCACATCTCAGATCTCCAGGAGGACCTGGACTCGGAGCGGGCCGCCAGGAACAAGGCTGAAAAGCAGAAGCGAGACCTGGGCGAGGAGCTGGAGGCCCTGAAGACAGAGCTGGAAGACACGCTGGACAGCACGGCCACTCAGCAGGAGCTCAGGTGAGGACCCATCAACCCCACCATCCTGCTGTCCCACTGCACCAACGGGATGGGGGCAGGAGAGGGGACAAACCCAAAGCAAATCCTGCATCACAGAATGTCTCAGCCCCTGTGCATTTACCTTCCTGGCTGCAGTTTGCTTTAACTTGTAGAAGCATGGTTGTTGTTGTTTTTTTTTTTTTTGGAGGCAGTCTGGCTTTATTGCGGTTGTGCCATCTTGGCTCACTGCAACCTCCACCTCTGAGATTCAAGTGATTCTCATGCCTCAGCCTCCTGAGTAGCTGGGCTTACAGGTGTGTGCCACCATGCCCAGCTAATTTTTGTGTTTTTAGTAGAGATGGAGTTTCACCATGTTGCCCCGGCTGGACTTGAACTCCTGGCCTCAAGTGATCCACCCACTTCAGTCTCCCAAACTGCTGGTATTACATGTGTGAGCCACTGCAGCTGGCCCTCATCATCTTATTTCTCATCAGAAGAGTAGTATATACCAGGGATGTACAATCTTTTGGTTTCCCTTGGCCACATTGGAAGAAAAAGATTTGTCCTGGGCCACACATAAAATACACTAACACTAATAATAGCTGATGAACTAAAAAAGATTTACAAATTGCAAAAAAACATCTCATACTGTTTTAAGAAAGTTTATGACTCTGTGTCAGGCTGCATTCAAAACCATCCTCATTGGAAAGCTTGGATATACTCAGAGAATAATTTGAAAACTATAGAAAAACAGACATAAAAAAAATCACCTTTCGGGTCGGGCTCATGCCTATAATCTCAGCACTTTGGGGAGCCAAAGACAGGTGAAGTCAGGAGTTCAAAACCACCCTGGCCAACATGGTGAAACCCTATCTCTACTATAAATCCAAAAATTACCTGAGCGTGGTGTCGCATGCCTGTAATCCTGGCTACTCAGGAGGCTGAGGCAGTAGAATCACTTGAATCTGAGAGGCAGAGGTTGCAGTGAGCTGAGATTGCATCATTGCACTCCAGCCTGAGCAACAGAGTGAGACTCCATCTCAAAAAACAAACAAACAAAAATCACCCTCAGTCACACCAGTTAGCATTTTTGAGAAATTCCTTCCTGTCTGTCTGTGTGTGTTATCAGTCAGTCCCCAGGCTCCAATTCCCAAGTATGTGTGTGTATAACTTTTGTGTTAAATTTTAAAAATAAAATTGATCAGATTGGTTTTCAATTTAAGATTCACTTCAAATGAACAAATAACAACAATAACAAACTGTCTGCCAGATCACGAATCCTGACTCTGGTGAAACTAGGTCATTGATTCATTCAGTAAACACATAAAAGTATTTTAATGCAATCTGTGGTGTTGGCATAGCATATACCATAGCATATAGCTATGCTAGCTGTGCCAACACCGTATACCCTGAGGTTTATTT